CTTCTGATTTTATAGTGTGCGCCAGATAATTTTGAGATAATATTTTTGGTGGATTTTCTGATTTGATGAAAGAATTCTGGTAAATTTAAATTGAAATTTTCTGATTAGTAACCAAATTTTACTCTTTCTTGTTTTAGAAAACTTCAGAATATAACAAGGTGAAAAATTATAATTTTGAACAAATAAAATATTTATATGAGAGCGTTTTGATTAGTAGTAAACGTTTTACTCCTCGCATATATATTATGAAAGAGAATAATTTGATTCCGTGTCTTTTTATTCTATGCTAAATGTTTTCTTTTATTTAATTATCAAAAGTTAAAATGGGAGGGAAAATTTTATGAAAATCGTATTGCTAAAAATCTCTTTTATTTTTCACCTATTTAATAATTATAATATTCTCTTTCGACACATAAGAAGAAGAGGAATTAAAGAATATCATCACCAAATACTAAAATGCTTTAAATTAGAAATTCAATCTGGTGAAGTCTGAGATATATTTTAACTCACATTATCATTTTAATAAACATACGTTTAAAAATTTAATTGAAATACACTTTACTCAATTAGTTTTTTAGGAACCTACTAGAGGAGGGGAGCTTTTTGTTGGAACTATTTGAATCACAAGTTCTTCTATAACATTAAAGCATGTGAGGTTTCATATTTTGGTTTGCTAAAATATACTTTCAAAAACAAATTTCGAAGAAGTGAATTTGAAATAATAATCTTACAAGTATTAATGAAATGTTGGTTAATTCTTAAAAAAGGATGATTGTAGTGTAGTTTAGATGAGTTTGGATCGGTTTTTAAGTTAAAATTCATTTGATTCAAAAATAAATTTATTTACAGTTTGATTTGATTTTAGATGATATATTAAAAAAAAATTGTTTTGATCTTATTCAATTTAATATAGTTTAATTTACATTGATTTTTAAATATTCAAATTACAGTTTATATTTTTTTTATTAAATTATAAAAATACTAATAAATAAGTTTTATATAATATATAATATAATATAATATATTAAAAGTTAATATTAAAAAATATAAAGATGATCAAAGCAAATAAAATAATAAAAGTAACTAGATTAAATAAAATTAATAAAAAAATATTTAAAAATTAAGTATCAACGAATAATAAATTAAAGCTACATATCGTACTAATAAAAAATAAATCTTAAAATATATACACGTGGTTAGGTTTGATTTAAATCAGTTTTAAAAAATTGATTAGAATTTAAATTCAAACCGAGCTATTTTCACCTAATGACATCTAAATACATTGAATAATATTTGTTTCTTGTAGTTTTTGGTTTTTTTAGATCAATTTGCAATTTTTATTTGGATCGATTTGAATTTGAATGAAATGTAGGTCAGCTCTCAAAATGAAATTATATTATTTGTCAATTTAGGGGATTACTTTATCCAACCCATGAAACTAGGGTGAACAAATTGAAATTTTGATTTTTCTTTTCTATATTTTGGAGAATCATCTCCGAACACATCAAATACACACAAAAATTAAAAAAGTGTTGCAAATAAGAAACACCATGTTTATTCCAAAAACTATTCTAAAAATGTATTTTTGGTCACATTCAATACACAACAAAAATATATTGTAAGTGAGATACATCACGTTTATGGCAAAAATTAATCTGGAGATACATCTCCAAAAACACCACTGAATTGATTGTGTATTTTGTTAATTGAGCAATTTATTTAACATCCCAATGACAATTTCAAAGATGTATCTCTGAAAATGTCTAACGGAAAATTAAATAAAATACACCTTTGCATGTTTTTCTTCATCATGATTAAACACCAATTTTCTCTCAAAACCCTTTTAATATTTCCTTTCATTCTTAATCAACTTTTGTATTCAAAACAACATTCTTGTATTTTATCACATCAAAAGGAGAAAAGAAGATGAAATTTTAGGTAATGAACATGTATTTCCTTCCTCATTATTGTCAGTATTAATCTGGTTTCTATTGTATACAAATGAACGTTACGTTCGAAGACACATTTCCGGAGGTAGTTTCATGTTATTCGGATATGTATATCCAGAATGTTCAAAATTTGAATTTCAATATTAAATTAGTTTTTATGTTATGCTTGGTTGTAGATATAGTGCACTCTGATACATTTTCACAAGCTACTGTGTATATGAATGTTAAATCGGATGATGTTGAAGATGATGTTAAACCGTTGATGTCGAGGTGGATGTTAAACCGATTTTTGTCGAGGTAGAAGTTCGTGAACAATGCACAAGTAAACGAGAATTTGTTGAGCGTGAACATATGCTCCAATGGATTGGCATGGAGGCCGCCAAACTTAGGCAGCATTTTAATCGGGAGATCTGACAATGGTTCTAAAATAAGACATACATTTATAACAATGAGAAGCGGAAGAAGTGGCAAGTGCCAACAACCTATTCTAAAGTTGAAACGAAATACCGGATCAAGAAAGTGTAAGTGTCCTTTTAAAGTTCGTGGATACCTTAAGGAGAGTAGTACATGAAAATTTAATGTGATTTCTAATACATATAATCATGACTTATATAATAAGTTAGTCGATCCTCCCATTGTATATCGCTCTAATCCTATTGAGAAACAACTTGTTTATGACATGACATTAAATGTGATGTCGCCCAAAAACATACTTGATATGTTGAAACGAAGGAGACATCAAAATATCTCAAATATCAAACAAATATACAATTGTGTTATAAACAATAAGGCGATAAGAGTATCAAGAACTAAAATACAACAACTGTTGAAGCTTATGAATGATGATCACTATGTTTCTAGGTACAAAGTGTGTGAGGATAGAGTTACTGCTCGAGATATATTTATATTTATTCTGATTCTATCAAAGTGTTCAACGCATTTCTCGTTGTGCGCATAAGAGGCCAAACTTCATCGAATCATTTTTTTAAAAGCACAGAAGAGTTTACCAAATTGAACATGATTGAGAGAGGATAAAATAAACACTACAAGAAAACTTACAATTAGCTAGGGGACTGGGTTAGGGGGGAAACCCCTCACTAAAATAAATACATTTGTTTGGGGTTAAACCCCTCGCAAAACACAAAATAGGGAGTAAAAAAAATAAAAACAGTTAGCTAGGGGATACCCCTCGCAAACAAGGGGGAAAACTTTTTTGAAATTTAAAAAATGTTTTACTAGGGTTCAGTATTTTAAGTGGTAACAGATATTTTAATATTTTTAAATTTTTATCTAACCATATACTTAGGGGGTAATTCGTTTTTAAAATGTATCGTTGTTATTAGTATAATTTCGATAAATTTGATACATATGTAATGAATATTGAATATTAATTATATAACAATAGAGAATAAATTTTATTAAAAAGATGTTCAACCTATTAACAACTTTTTCTTGAATATAACTAATTTTGTATGTGAGAAAATTCTTAAGATACACTTTCAAAATTATGAAATCGGGAGTATTTCAAAAAAAGCATCTCTAAATAAAACGCATAAGTATGGGATCTCCTATCTCATTTTTCTGAATAAAATCACATCACACAAAAATAAGCATATATTGATCTGTCGCATTTGTCTACTTCAACGAGACATAACCCTCACTTAAATTTAGAATCATAAAGACGTTATTCGTAGATTTAAAATTCATGCTGAATAATCTTCTACAATACTCAAATAATCGAAGAGTTGTATGACTCAAAAAAAGATTAAGTTAAACAAGTTTAAGTTAAAAATAGATGAAAATTTAAAAATTATATGGAATACATTTCACTATTACAAAACAAATAGTTGATTAAAATTTATACGACAAATACAAGATTAATAAGATTAATCAAAGATATTCTAATGAATTATAATATCATCTAATAAAATATAAGGTTATATTTATATAAATAATTATATATAGAATTGTTTGAAAAAAACATAAAAACTGCCAAGTCAAATAACTAAATCAATATGTTTGATAGTGAACTAAGTCATATTACACAACCACAAACGGTTTTAAAATTGAACCGAAACTAAAACCAAATCAAAATTATAATCGAACCAAAACTGAAAAATGATAAATGCTAAAAAATATAATTTAGTTTCTTTTTTAATTTAAAATAAATTTAACGGTTTAGTTGTTTAATAAGTAATTTGAAAAAAAAAATTAACTTCTTTCGAATTTCAACACAAAATAACAAATTAATGATTATGATAATTCAAGTAAATTAACAGAAAATAACAAATTAATGATTATGATAATTCAAGTAATATTTTATTATGGTTTAGTTTATTTCAATTCAATTTTCTCTCTTAAACAACCCTAACTATATTTGCAATATCACATATTTTGATATTAATTTTCGTTTTTCTACAAATTTCTACATCTATTCTATTAGAGAGTTGTAATTTGAGCTGAAGTGCATATTTCAAATATGCATCTCTACATTGGCCCAATCACGAAGATGATCTCCATGACTGAGTTGTGATTTGAGCTGAAGTGCATATTTCAATCTACATTGATATGCCTCAATCTTTGATGACTCAATCTCAAACTCAGTCTCAAAGATGTATCTCCAGACATATTTAGTCACGAAAATCTAAAAAATATTTATGACTTCTCTTTGTAGTAGTAAACTAGCACCCCATAGAAAAGAAAAAGTAATCCTCGTATATTTAATTAATTGGTACTGAATCCATTGAATTTCAACTGGACGAGAAAACGCTAAATAGGTTATTTAAGTGCACTCATTCGTATATTTTTCTAAAACTAAAACGTTGCTTTATATCATTTTTGCGCAGGAAGCATAAACCATAGATTGATTCAACGAATAATTAACCTTTCTTTACTGTTACTCAAACCAAGGTTTAAAACTCTTAAATATGTTAAAAGCAAATAAAGGCACAATCTGTTTTCACCAAAACATGTTTGTGAACTAAAAGATAATTTTGCCAAAAACTATAGCCCCATTCTAAGAAATTTTTGCCAAAACCATAGAGCACCATTCTAAGATAATTTTGCCCTTGAGAAGTCCATTTCAGGATGCTGCAATAGATAAAATTGAAACAGTTAGCAGCCAGATTACCAGATCGGCAAAGACAGTGTTGAGAATGCAGAGAACACCAAGTACAAAAATCAAAGGCTCACCTGGCTCATAAACTTCTTCATCATGTCTTGTTTATTAAGCTCCTCACTTGAAGGAAGACCCATGGATTTCTGCCTCTGATCAAACTGTTGAACAATACAAGATAATATTAAACCATAAGCAAAGAAACCCAATACAATGTTATCTAGATTGATACTTCAGTGTAACAGGATCAATCGATGACAGATCAAAATCAAAATGCAATATAAATTAAGTAATTGAAGTAACAAAACTCAAACAATTACCATCATTTTCTCAACAGTAGATCGAGTCTCAGGATCTAGGTCACCAAGTTTGCTGCTCTCAGGTTCAACTTTTTGGGTATTAATTTCAGGATCACCCTTTACTAGACACTTCCACCAGTCCATTTGGTCGTGCTTGGTTAAAAGAATGGAAATTGTATTCTGATCCTCTGCAAAAAAATAGATTTCAAACAAAGTTCTGATCAACCAGAATTCTAACACAAAAACTTAAAATATCAAATCCATTACGATGCTAATGAACTATGGTCTTTTAAAATAGGATTTTCTACAGACACAATTTAGTAGTTAAATATACCTATGCTCCAGTAACATTCATCAGGCTTGATAGATTTGTACAGATCCCCCTGTAAAATTTTAAAATCATAGAATCAGAAAACATATAATAAAAACTTCTGAACAAACCGAATAAAACAATGAATGTAGCAAGTAAACTTACATCAATAATAGGTGGCTGGCCTTTGAGACCAACTTTTAGATGGTTCTTCTTAATCTCACAGATAACAAGCTTCGACTTCGTTCCATTTGGCACCGGAACGTTAACATTGAGCTCTTGCAGACTTTGAGTCCATGAATAGAACTCCAGATCCATACCATTACCCTTATTAGGAGCTGTCCATTAAAAATAACAAAGGTCTCAGAAATTGTTTAAAAATCCTACGGATACATAGTTAATCACCTATTCGGAGTTACTTGTTAGGAATTAGGATAATTATGCGGTATAAAACCCTAAACCCTAAACCGAAACAACTGTTTATGTATTAGCCTCACATTAACAACAAACAAGCTAAACCCTAAACCCTAATTAACATTCTACACTCAAGAATCAATATCATAAAACATGTATAATCAACCAGACACAATTGTGATCATTCATAAAATAAACATTCCTAAATACTCTACGAAACAGCACTACAGTAATGTTCCTAACAAACATATGCCGATAAAAATAAAAATGAATAAATTAGGGTAAAAAATAAAATCAAATTGAAATTTAAAAAAAAAACTGAAAATATCTTACCTGCTCCTTCCTTCTTTTCATCTCCTTTCGCTTCTACTCCCTTATCTTTCTTCTCTGCCGCCGCCGCTTTCTCCGCCTTGGCCTTTTCCTCCGCGGCGATCTTCGCCTTCACAGCCGCAACAGCCTTGGCTTTCTTTGCCTTAACAGCGCGAGCGCCGCTCAGAATGACCTTCTCGGCCGATTCCTTTTCGAAGAAATCGCTCTCATTAGCGATGAAGTCGAATACCTTTTCGAGAAAAGCGGCGGGATTTGATGGATCGAAGGTGGAAGTGAACGGAATGGATTTGGGGGGTTTGGATTGGGAAGATGAAGGGGATTGTTTGATGTTTTGTTCTTCTTCTTGAAAATCGGAGATAATCGCCATTGTTGAGTTTGTTAGAGATGAAGGTACTAAGAATTTGAAAGGGGGAAGTAAAGGATTTATGAGTAGAAATTCATTCCAACACGCGTAAAGGGTTTTTAAATAACTTGTTTGTCGTGGAAATTTCTAGAATCGTTGCGTTTTTTCCGGTTAACTAGTTGAGGCCGACCCGAGTCCGAGTCCCAACCCGGCCCAACACTACTTCAAATTATTAGATACTATCATAATTATATAATAATATATCTTTTATTTATAAAATTATGACTAGAAATAAAGATTTTTTTCTCTTTTTAATGAAAATTTATAAAAGGTAGTTGAAAGAGAATTTGTAAATCTAAACTTATTTAAATTATTTTTCTATATTAAAAATATAAAATAAATTTTTTTCTCTTTTTAGTGAAAATTTAGAAAAGATAGTTGAAAGAGGATTGGTCAATCTAAATTTATTTAGATTATTTCTCTATATAAAAAATAATAAAATAAAGGTTTTTTTCTTTTTTTATTGGAACTTTACAAAAGGTAGTTGAATGGGGATTTTTGAATCTGTATTTATTTAAATTATATTATGTTTTTGATATAAAAGTAAAATAAAATAAAATAAAGAATTTTTTTAATAAAACTTTACAAAGATTGTTGAAAGCAGATTGATTGGAATACAATGTCAATGTAAAACTATTTTACACTATTATTCAATTACAACGAATTATTTTGACACATAATTATGAAATTAAAAATTAAAAATATTAAATTATAATTAAACCATTTTAATAACCATTTTTTCATGTTTCTCTCTTTTTATGTGTCAAAATAATCTATTCTAATTAGATGAAAGTGTAAAATAATTTATACTGACAGTATAGTTCAATTAATCTTATTTTTAAATATATATTTATTTGTATTATATTATATTTTTGATATAAAAAATATAAAATATAAAGTTTTTCTTTTTTTATAGGAACTTTACGAAAGGTAGTTGAAAAAAGATTTTAAAATCTAAATTAATTTAGTTTTTATTTTACATAAAAAAATATTTATTTATTTTTTAAAATGACTTTTTAGATTAAAAAGTGGTGACAAATCAAACAATTTAGTTTTATCCTTAAAGATTTTTTTTTTAATTTTGACTACAAAGTTGTTTTTAATGTTTAAAAAATTAGCCTAATTTCTCTCTTAAATTTTATTTAGATTTATGGAATGGATGCATCAGAGTATAATGAGATGAAAATTTATGGTCATTTTTAAAATTTTCACAATTAAATCGTATTTATATAGAATCTTATAAATCATTTTTATGGTAAAAATAAAATTAAATAAGGCCTCTAATTACTTTATTATGTGTGGATTTTGACTAATTTACACACGACCTCTAAAAATTTGTGACAATTATGAAATGTAATTATATTTTATTCTTTGAATAATTTAAAATTGGATAAGCAAATAGAAATACATTCAATTATATTTTTCACTTATCATATTTCTTCCATCTGATTTGAGAGGAATGGACAATTTAATTTTTAAATAATTATATGAAATTTTACCATGATTTATGAATTTTAATGTGCCTTTTTACTTTTATATTTTTTTATATTTCTTTATTACATTATATCTTTTTTTTAACATTGACTTTCTTATTTATCATCCACATTTTGTATTATTATTTTTGGCAGTTGTTTCGTTAAATACGTTGTTTTGTTATGTTTTTATGCAGAATATGATGTTAACGGTATATGATTTCTATATTAACAATTTTATTGTTGTTCAACTTGGATTCATTTCTTGAATCCAGACTTGCAATAGCAACTATGTATGTGGCCATAGAACCTTTATTGAGAATAATTAATGATGGGAATAATTAGTGTTAAATAAGAGTTTTCATGAATTCTTAGATGAGTTCTAATCTCAAGTAATATGGTGACACATTCTTGTAACTTGTTAATGGTATTGTTTGTAAAATATACTATTTTAATTGAAATCCTGACATTCATCTTATGCACATTTGTATGTTCATTCTAGTTCTTGTGTCTTGGATGGATCTGCACATGTACTAGAGTAGACAAGGTTCCATGAAGCTTGTGAAGATTTCAGAATTGTTTTGCCAAGAAGTAGGTTAATTCCAAAGATTTCAGATTTGATTTGTCAAGGAGTAGGTTGAAGAAGCATCATCATATTTGTAGTTGAGAAGGGTTGAAGAAATTTTGTAAAAAGGGTTGAAAAAATTTACAAGAAATTTATAGGAAATTTTGCAGTAAGGGAGAAATTTATATGAAAGGGGTTATGAGTTTAATGTAATTAGATTTAAGATTTTGTTGATAACAAAGTTTTATTAATCTAAAATGCTATGAAATTGTTAATAATGCAATGTAATTGTAGTTTGATTAACTTTTCTGATTTGTTCCGTTAAATAATTATAAGGTTTCAATTTAATCTTTTTTCTGAGTCACTACACAGTTGACACGTCACGTTGGCAAAAACTAACGTTTTTCTAACTAAATTAACGGAAGAGACCAACATTGCTAACAGAACTAATATTACGGAACTAAACTGTGACGATTTTTTATTAAGAGACTAAAGCGAAACTTAAAATTAATTTATGGGATCGGGGAACTAATTATGTCATATCTTTAACAGTATATTTCAATTAAATTCTATTATGTGAAAATTCAATCGCACTAAAATTCGGAAATAAATTTCCTGCACTCAAATGCTAACTTCAAAGTGATCCTAGCCATTCATCTTTCATAACAATCTTTTTTATATTTAAGGGTTAAATATGTTAGGGCTCTTCGTAAATATGTCAACATTTAAATTTAGTCCCTCTAAAATTTTCCTTCAAACAATGGTCCTCACAAACTTTTTCGTCCATAAAATTGGCCCATTCCTTAGTTTCCACTAACGGAGACTGACGTGACAATGCTAAATAATTTTTTTTATGACATAACATACACGTGACAGTGTCACTGTGGCAAAAAAAATGCTGACCCAGATGCCACATATAAATTATTTCCATTTTAAATGTTTTATATTGACATTATACCTAAAACCAAAAAATTGTAGCTAATTTATAACTAATTCCTAACTAATTTAATCACATTATTCTATCAGTAATACAAACACCATCACAATACTTCGTGTGTATAAAGTGGTCACTGTCCGCTGGATAAACTACACACTAACTTCTTCTCTTGCTAACTCAATTCGCGAACGCTACCGCCGAAGCCGACGAAGGATCCAGCGCCGGAACAAGTTTCCATCGTTCACATATATTCTATTTTTCTTCACTTCACAACTTCATTTATAAGCATTACATGTTTTTCTATTATCAGTGTGTGTTACAGTGTGAGCAGTGATTTCTTTTGATGTGTAAGTTACAAAAAAAAGCAGGCCATGGTTTATTGAAAGGGGCGATGAATATGAAGTTTCCAGGCTATTCCATTTTCCTTTCATTTTCTCCTTTAACTTCCAGTTTCATCAAAAATACTCCCAGATTACAGGTGAGTATATCTCGAAGAATCCTTAGAAATTTATGCATTTCAAGGTTCTTTTACGCTAAAACATTGCCAACAGTCGTATTGCTTCATATAAGTTTGGCCTTTAATCAAACCTGCCACCATATCTCCTTTACAATATCTAATACTGTTACAAATTGAAATTAGTTCGTTTAGACATTTAACATGTCTATCGGATGTTCCATGAGATTTAGTCTATTAATTCCATTTGCGTAAGCAAGAATACACTTTGATGCTATTTGTTGAGATATTACCCTGAATCATGTTAAATATTTATTAACCCATTATAAAAAGTTGGATGCAACAATCTTTAGGCTTAATACCTCTTTTAATCTCTTAACTTTAGTCATAGTTTCGCTTTGATCCCTTAAGAAAAAAATATTACATTATGGTTCACTAACTTATACTTTGTTACATATATTAGTCCTTTCTGTTAGTTTTGGTTAGAAAAACGTTAGAAATTGCACTGTTGGACTTTAAATGACTTAGGTGGATATTCTGTAATTATTTTAATGGACGAGATGGATTTTCTATTACACTTAACAGTCATTTTAAGGAGATGAAACGTATTAGGGAATGCTTACATTGTTGGATAAAAGCTCAAGTTCAGAGAGCAGCTACATTGTGAACAACAACACTTGTTTGAAGAGGAAGTTCATTAAAGACGAAGATAAAGGCGTTTACGGCAACAACCCTCCATTGAAGAAGAACGAAGTAGAAGAACTTCATTATTTCATTCGTCTGCAGAAAAAACCCTAAGTTACGAACTTGCACAAATACGATTGAAAAATGTTAACTTTTTTCTATACCTAACTTACTTAGTACTTCTAATACTATATGTAGGTTATTTAGGTCATGGAGAGTAGGTTTAAGTGTGTTGCTCATCATTCTGATGAATTTTCTAGGGAGTTTGTAAAATTTACCAAGTCAGGTTATGTAGGGTTAGAGGAGATATGAGGTGTTGATCCTGATTATTAAAGTTACTTTGAAATATGAGATGCAGACATTTGTATAGTAACTTCAGGAAAAAGTTCTCTGGCCTGAAATTAAAGGAATTGATGTGGAGGGCTGCATGTGCAAGTTATGTTAATGCTTGGGAGAAAATAATGCTTAAAATCAAAGGAGTTAATGAAGAGGCCTTCAAACACCTCATCAAAATTCCACCAAGATTCTGAAGCAAATCAAGGTTCCAGTCAAGTTCAGGTTGTGACACTTTGGTTAACAATATGTCAGAGGCCTTCAATTTTGTATTTGTAGCAGCTAGATCCAAGCCCATTGTGACAATGCTGGAAGAAATTAGAGTATACCTAATGCAGAGATGAGAATCTAATAGGCAAAATATTACCAAATACGATGACATCATACTACCTAACATCAAAAAGAGGATGGAAAGGGAGTCACGAAAAACCAATCATTAGATTGTGAGGTAACATGGTAGATTTGTTGAACATTACTTTCAAATGGCTAACTGTTTACATAGGCTAACATTAAAATGGTTACTTGTTTACATGTGTGCAAGTGAACATGACTATGAGGTGAGGCATACTTCACTCAATGGAGAAAAATATGTTGTCAATCTTTACAAGAAATAATGCTCATGTAGACTATGGATGCTGACTGGACTTCCTTGCTGTCATGCAATGTCTTGCATGAAAGATCAACATTTGGAGATTAATGACTTTGTACCTGACTGTTACAAGAAGGAACAATATGTTGTTTGATATGCACATATGATATATCCACTAATGGGGAAGTCTTGTGGGAAAAGACTAGTGCTGTTGATCTTTAACCACCACCAATAAAGAGGCAGCCTGGAAGGTCAAAGGAAAAAAGGAACAGGGAAGTTGGAGAGATGGTGAGGGATGAGACACACATGAAGAGGGCAATACATGGTATAAAGTGTAGTCGTTGCCACAAGGATGGTCATAACAAGGCCACTTGTAAACTACCACAACCACAAGAACCAACAAGTCAGCCACCATCACAAGCTGATTCAAGTCAGGTACAAGATGCAACAGGTCAACAACCATCACAAGATGTTACAAGTCAACCACCACCACCTGTTGCAACAAGTCAGCCACCATCACAAGCTGTTACAAGTCAACCACTACCACCTGTTGTTACAAGTCAACCACCGTCATCTGTTGTTACAAGTCAGCCACCACCACAAGCTGTTACAAGTCAACCACCACCATCTGTTGTTACAAGTCAGTCACCACTCAAAACTAAGAAAAAACTTCATACGGGTCGCAAGCCTGTTTCAAGCCAACCATGATCATTATTATTATGTCTGCTAAGATTTTGTAATGCCATTTTATGGTCTGACTCTTTTGTTTTTGTTAATGCATATTTTGGAATTGAACTGTTATGTAATGCCTTATAATGACCTTTTGGTTTTGAACCTGTTATGTAATGCCTTATAATGACCTTTTGTTATTGAACCTGTTATGTATCAAACTTTGAACCTGTTAATGAATGTTGGAATGACTTATAATGCCACATTATATTACAGTTTATTTCCACAAATATTGGTCATTGAGCTGCATTATTTACAGGTTGGATATTGAGACATTATTCAATGAAAATGTGAAAACATAACACAAACATTATTCATTGAAACAACATAACAATACATTATTCATTAAACAAACTCATCAATTTGTTACAAATATAAGGTTCAACCCTATAACTACCAACATAACAACATAACTTTGAACTATCCTAAAACTAATTGAGATACATTGTCACAAATTCAACCCTAAGCTTACAATCCCAACAACAATGGACATTTTGAGCCACCCTCTAGTGTAGATAACTTCATTCTTCAATTTGTTAATTTTCTCCTTTTATCTTTCAAGCTTTAAATCCCTTTCATCAACAAACTCAACACCCAACCACTTGAAGAAATTACAACCTTTTTAATGTGGTTTCTGTAATTTCTACAACCCCATAATTTTCTCCCCTTGTTGACATTGTTCACATCGTCCACTGTTCTAAGAACACTTTCATCTTGGCAAAAGCACTTGATTCTCTTATTTCTATGAATCAAAGATACAGATGTACCATAACTATGATTGTTTGAAGTTGAGATATTGCTTGCACTCTTTGACATTGAACCCTAATTCCCAAATTGGAGAAGAAAATGGAAGATGGAAGAAAATGATTTAACCCTGATTTGAAGACAAAGATGAAAGAGGTTGGAAATATGGAAAACGACTAAAGAATGGTGGAAGAAGAATGAAGCTGCAACCAAATGGAACCCTATGTAACGTAACATATACATATGTTGATGTGAAATTCTAAATTGGCTTACTTGACATGCCACCTCACACAAACAAATGTTTTTTTTTTGACACAAATTAACGGAAGGGACCAAAATGTTTAACGAAACTTAATTTAAAAGATCATTATGTAAAGTTTTTTAGTTCAGGTACTAAATCAAAACTTCGCTCAAAGTTAAGGTATCCAGTGACTAATTATGCTTAATCCTCAACATCTAAAAGAATTAAATTATTTAATCATTATTTAAAGGCCATAATTAAGTGGCTTGCAGCTTCTCGAGTAATTTTATATTTTTCAGTTATCAATATATCAACATGTAGTCACAGCATATTAGGATAAATCCCACTTTTATAATGTAAAATCAGCACCATTAGATTTCTACCGTAAAGACTATATTATCCTGACTGTGTGGCAGCGCGGTTCCCTAACTAGGGGTGTGCAAAATAACCAATAACCATAAACCAAATTCCTATCCAAATTAATCCAAAATTTAAAATCCAAACCAAATTTATATTTTAAATATGGTGGCCCATTTATCAAATTAAAAAATAACCGGTAACCATTTGTTTCAAACCGGATTGAGATTCGGTAAACATTTTTCAATTAATAGTTTGGAAAAATCAAGATTAACACAAATTTCAGAAATCCTAATCCTCAAAATCCAAATTTTATTCATCTCTTTCTTCTTCACCATTCTTTAAATTTCAAACCTTAATCTCATTTGTATATTAATTCTCTAAATCACAATCATGAGTTTATCGAAATAGTATACTGTTATAATTTTAAACTCTCAGTTGTTATGCTTGCATACCAGATGTTCGATCTATTTTCATTATATTAGTTGTTCGATCTATTTTTTAACTCATCATAGATAATGGCTAACAAAGAAAATTTACTATCAAGTTGATGATTGGACCAGTCAGCAGAAATATTTTTCAGAAGCAATAGAAAGTAATTTTTTTTCTTCTGCTGTGTTCGACTTGAAAGTCAATAGGAGCACTTATAACAAGGGCAGTATAAAAAGAAAATTCAATAACAGACTTGTTATCTACTATAGATAAATTTATATTTTTTTTAACAAAGTTGAATCATATATGTGCATACGAGATGAGAGAAAGCTATTTAGACAATTGCTTAGCATGTAAAACACTTCTATTGGGATGCTGTTAGAAATCTTTAAAAAAAAAGCCATATATTTGAGACTTGATATAATATACTTCACCAATCATTTAAAAAGTAGTTTAGTTTTAAGTTGGAAATTATTAAACATGCTTTTATTTTCAATTTTTTTAACGAAATTTTAAAGCATTTTAACATTTAATTCTAAATAGATAATAAACTTAGTCCAATTGTTCTGTATCGAGTAATGCATCTACATTTAATATTATGTGCACATGGGTAATTAATAATAAAATTAATTTTTTAAAAATAATTTTAAAACTGATTTTTTTTATAAAATTGGTTTAAAAATTAATTTCTTAAAAAAAAAAAATTAATTTTGAGAGAAACCGGTTTAAAACTGATTTTTAAAAAAACTATTTTTTTTTAAAAATCAGTTTAAAACCGAACCAATCCTGTAAACCAGTTTTAAAAAAATTAACCAATTTTATATAAATAATTTTAAGATCCAAACCAAATATCGACACCCCTATCCCTAACTGCAGGAATCATGGTCCCTAAAATTCAGACTTTAACTTCAATTTTGCTTCATTCCAATACCTTTCCATCACAACTCGACCTCCCTTCATCTCTCTCCGCCAAACCTCCCTTTCACCACCGCCGGGTTGTCCGCTGGCCATCCTCGCGAGCAAACCACATATGGATTCATGAAAGGTTTGAAGATTAAAGTAACACAAAATTTTGAATGACCAATTTTTAGTTTCTTTATATCGATTGAGTTTATTTTGACATTTACAATCCTCTTCTTGGTATCAAGTGCAGGTGAACCATAAAGCCTCAGGAAAGAAATCTGGTTCTGATTCAAACAGGTATATATGATTTTTGTATCATGTTATCTATTGATTATTTTATTTTTTAGTTTTATCTATTGTGTTTAATTTTATTTTCAATTTCAACCTTCAAAGAATTTACCTGTGTATGAAATAACCTAAGTAATTATACTACTATAGCATTGAACACATAGGTTTTCTTGCATCAAGCTTCATGTAGAACAAACTAGGCATTTTCCATTTATTTTGGAAAGAAAGTTCAAATATGATTTTGCTTATAATCAGCAAAAGAAATACATAGATTGTTATCAGGTTGTTAAATGTTAGTGTCGTAACTGCAACAACGTCACTTAAAACTTCGCAGAGAAGCACACACACGTATCTATACAAAATCTCAATTGATCTACTTCCTAGAAAGAGCAATTTTAATTACATCTAGCTCCTTGGTGACATTTTTCATATTTATTCGCTCTCTCGGTGACACCACTGAACAAGCAAGTCCAATGTGAAAAAGTTCATGTAAGCACTTCTTCAAATCATTAGGATGCAAGTGGCTTAGGTTTTGATCTCTTGTTGTTGATACAGTTGTTTGTTTCAATTCTCTTGGGAGTAGAGTTGAGTCTACAATATCTAGCACTTTATCTGGCAGTGAAACCTCGACAAAAGAGTACAGATTCATACCATTGGTAAACATTTCATCTGTTGGCTTTCTTCCTGTTAGTATTTCCAGTAAAAAGATTCCGAAGCTATACACATCACCCTCGGCTGAAACTTGACATCCAATTCCATACTCTGAAAATTATGTACTTTAGGATTAACCATACAAAAATTAAACATGTTGCTTATAAGGCATACGATTAAAATTTAAATGCATTTTTGTTCCGACCTCAAGTGCACTGTACTTCTTTTACGAAGTATTGTCCACTTTAGGTCTTGTACAATCTCTCATGGTTATGTCCTAGTTAAAAGGCTCCTCAGTGAGTCGAGGAGAGTGAATGTTTAGAAACTACACTTATACTCGATTCCCCAGAAATGTGGGAATTTTTTGTTTAACAGACGAATTCAAAAACATAAATTAAATGGTATCGGACTATACCTGGAGGGGCATATCCAATTGTTCCGTTGAATCCAATTGTGCTAGTTTGTAGATCAGAGATACCATTGATGGCAAATAGAAGTCTTGCTTGTCCAAAATCACTCACATGGGCAACCATGTCATTATCAAGAAGGATATTGCTTGGCTTTAAATCGCAGTGAATGATTGGCTGCTCAGATTCGTAGTGTAGATAGTGTACTGCAGAAGCAACATCTATGAGAATATTTAATCTTTGAAGAAGGTTCAAATTTGGTTGATCTCCGATTTCAGAGCCGGGAAGCAGCCTTTTATCCAAGCTTCCATGTTCCATGTATTCAAAAACTAAAGCTTTGAATTCATTACCACTGTAATCCATACTTGAGCAACATGTTAGAATCTTGACAAGATTCCTATGACGGATACTTTTGAGTGCATTACATTCAGCGATGAAACTCTTGTGCGCTCCCTTGACTCGAAGGTTCAAGACCTTTATAGCAACAACTCTTTCTTCTGACTCAAGAAATCCTTTATATACAACTCCAAAACCACCAGATCCTATCAAGTTGTTGGAAGAGAATCCACCTGTTGCTTGATAAAGTGTTTTGTATGAGACCTTTGGAAGGTGATCTATTGTTGATGGAAAATTGGAAGCTCTCAAGTGTGTTTTTTTATTCCAAAAGATTGCAATAGAGAAAGATGACAAAAGAAGAAAAACACCCACACAAATTGCTATTACTATTATCTTCCAATCCTTTTGGTCTTTTTGTGCCTTATCTTTGACAACACATGGTTGTAGATGTAACCCTGTAATACCACCACAAAGGTCACTATTGTTTTTCACAGATATTGCACTTTCATTTCTAAACACACCTTCTGTTGGTACTTCACCATCTAACCTGTTAAAAGAAATGTTCAAGTACTGTAAAACAGGAAGACTGTCTAGACCTTTTGGAATTGACCCTGACAAGTTGTTCAGCGATAAATCTAAATGTTGAAGACCTTTCAATGAAGCCAAAGATGAAGGCATGGCTCCTTGGAAAAAATTCCCTTGTAAGTTAAGATATTCCAAACTTATGCACTGTCCGATTATTGCAGGAATTTCACCAGACAGAAAGTTTTTAGAAGCATCCAACTTATTGATGCTTTTCAGGTTGGCAATTTCAAAGGGTAGGCTTCCACTGAATGAATTATGGGATAAGTTGAGTAACAATGACAAAGAGGGAAGACCAATGACTTGCCAAGGAATGGTTCCACTAAGGTGGTTATTTGATAGGCCCAAGTATTGTAACATTTGGCAATTTCCAATACTAGGAGGAATGCCTCCTTCTAGCATATTGTTTGACAGGTCAAGTTGAAATAACTGAGTAAGGTTGCCAATTGATGATGGAATCTTTCCTGAAAGTTTGTTTACATTCAATGTCAATGATTGTATCTTTTCGAAATTTCCAAAAGAAGTTGGAATGGAGCCTGTGAGAAGGTTGAACTCCAAGTCAAGGCCAATCAAGTTGATGAGATTTCCTAATCCTGAAGGAATAGTACCGATAATCTGATTTCCACCGATGTAAAACTGATTTAATTGACCTGAAAAGTTAGCTACAGAGTTTGGTAAAGAACCACCAAAGTTGTTTAGATTCAAATCCAACACTTGTAAATTTGTGCAATTTGTCAAAGATGTCAAGAAATCCAAATCCTTGGATGAATTACTCCCTAGATGATTATATTCCATAGCAATGGACCAGATGTTTTTGAGGTTTCCTATTCCAGTTGGAACTTGTCCCACAAAGTTATTCCTAGGGATGTTAAATAACATCAATTGTGTCGCATTCGATATCGAAATCGGGATAGGGCCGGAGATCTTATTCATACCAATGCCAAATTGTTGGAGATTAGGGAGTGTGAGAAACATATTGGCAGGTAAAGTTCCATTAAATTGGTTGACACCTGCTGAGAAGAAAGTTAGAGATGACATATTAAATAATGTAAGAGGAAGCATACCATATAGTTTGTTGGATGCAATAGAGATATGTGTCAAGCTTTTCAGATAGCCTATCTCTTCAGGTACGTTTCTCTCCAAATTATTGATTCCTAAAGTGAGAACTCTAAGAGACGAAAGATTTCCTATAGATGCAGGAATTTCACCTCTCAAATTGTTCATGCCAATAGATAGAATTTCTAGCTTAGTTAGATAGCCAAGCTCCTTCGGTATCTTTCCAACTAGTTTGTTTCCTGTTAAACTCAATCTCTTGAGGTTTGAACAACTAGACAAGTTTGTTGGAATTTGACCCTTTAATGTGTTGTTGGTCAGATACAGCTCCTGCAGCCTGAACAAATGGCCAATTTCTTGTGGAATTTCGCCATAGAAGCTGTTGTTTTGAAGGTTAACATGTCTCAGGAAGGTGAGGTTTCCAATTTCAGGTGGTATGAATCCAAGTAAGGCATACCCTTGTAGGTTCAAAGAAGTGACTCTTTGATGCTTGAGACTGCACGTGACTCCATGCCAATTGCAAAAGTAAGTTGAAGTGTTCCAAGATTTCAAGATATCAAAAGGGTCCTCTACTATTGTTTCTTTGAATCTTAGTAATGACAATTTGTCTGTGTCATTTCCTAAGGCACTAGCAGTATTCTTATGTTGGAGACATAGTAGTGTTAGTGTAGCAGCAAAGAGAAGGAAAACATGAAAGCATGTTGAACATATCATACTCATTTTTTGATTGAATTTTGGAGAATTAGAAGGAAATGGAAAATGTGTATGGTGCAAACTGTGCAATACAAATAGATCTATATATAATAATAATGATTTGTGAGTTGAAGATAATGGTGTGTGAACATTCATACATTTGAGTTGAAGTTTGGGTTATTAAGTTATTATTGTTTGATTAATTAATATGTTTTCGCCTTCTTATGACTTTGAAATTTCATTGTAGGATAGGGTTTGAAAAAGATAGTGTCACTATTGATGTATTCTTCTTACTAATTTATATCTGAAGAGCTGAAAAGATGATTCTTAGAGTTGACTCTTCCCTAAAATATTCAGTTCGTTTATAATTTATATTTATTATACATGACACGTAGCCCTTTGCAAAAAATTAAATGATATTAATTACATAGAAAAATATAATTTCACAACTCCTAAATTGAGGTTTTGTTGCCTTAATCTTCTTCCCCAAGAGACACCAACAGGCAACAACTTCTTTTATTGTTATCCTTCCCTTCAATGAACTTAATTAGTCTTTGGCAGTTAAACTAAAAAATTATATCTTGTATGCAGCAATCCGTGGCAAAATTCATGGCTAGCTCCATATACCTTATCCTGATTTTTCTTCTTCTTAATTCGGCTTTTTAGGGATCTCTTTTATTTAATTAAATTCCTTTTTATTTTTGAACTTCTCTTTCGAATTATCAATTCATTGGATTGCTCCAACTTTTTAGACATAATATTTTTTAACTGCATCATACTTTATTGGAAGAGAAAGTTTTTTTGCCATCATCTTTGTGAGAATCAAAGCTTCTTTAAAGAAGGATAACACACAGAAAGACGCGCATAATAAATGAGACCTTAGGAGGACATGAGATTCCGGCCTCAAGCACACTCCCTCACCATTGAGTTATATTGGACGACCTCTTTTATGAGGCATTAGATCTCATGGAGATGGTTTTAAGTGCACAACTTATATAAAACACAACATTCGTCATTTCAGACATTTCTTCATTCACACACTCAAACCACTTTTTCACTCATACACTAACTTGAATGTTAAAATATTAACCTTGCAGATTCACCTCTAATCCGTCATACCAAAAATTCACTCCATCATATTAGAACTTAAGTTTACTCGATTTCCAAGTATATCTAATTTCAGTATGAAACATGATCTAATATTACCATTTTATTTAATGGGTCCAACATCTATGAAATATACGTGGATCACAACTAAGGTGTTTACAAGCTGTTAATCAATCCTATATAAATAAAAAAAACTAAGGTGTCCACAAGGTGTTAACCAATCTTATATAAATAAAATATATGTTGTAAATGTCTTAAAATAAAATATATTCGATTTTTTTATGATTAAGAAACACACAAGGGTTAGGGTTAAGAAAAAACAAGGAAAACAACAAGGATTGTTTATAACTGCTATTATTTATTTTCTCTATTAAAACAGATTACAAGTACTAAAGAATAACAAATAACCCTCTCATCATAATTAGGTTTTGTTACATCACACATAAGATGAAAGACTAGTATGCTATTTATAATAAAACATAGCATACTAAACTAATAGGCTTTTTAACAATTATCCATTACAAGCTAACTTAGAGTACAAGCTAACTTAAACAATTGGATCCTTAACACAAGGTCCAATTCGACAACTACATACTAGAACACAATTCGACTACAGCATGTAGGCCTTCGACAACATCATGTGAGCAAACTCGACGACATGCTAACTAGAGTTCGATCTAATATCTCACAAATCTCCACCTTGGATCTAATTCTACCATCAAGAAACAAAATAGCTTTTTTCATGCAGCTTTATCAACTGCATACAGTGGAAAAACTTGCAACTGGGCAACGTCTTGTTGATCATATCAGCAACATTATAATCTGTCAAAACCTTCAGCAATCGGACTTATCCACGCTCGATTATCCTTCTGATGAAATGCAGCCTCACATCAATGTGCTTGGTTCGCTCATGATAGGCTGAATTCTTCGGTAAGTGTATTGCACTTTGACTATCACATTTAACAATGACTAACCTGGCTCCAGCAGGTTTCTTGATCAGTTTCCAGGTGTTGTTATCATGAAGAGATTTTATCTCATCATCCATGTCCTTCAGCCATTCAGTCTTATTTTGACTCCTCATAACTTTCTTATAGTCTCTAGGTTATTCGTCGACCCGTCTCTTGCTAGCAGGTAGTCATTATCAGTCTTCTCATCTTTGACAACAATTTCTGCTTCTTCTTCGACTTCATTTGAGGTACGCAATTCCCTGTTCCAGCTCTTCGTCCGCATAATCAGTTTTCTTGAAAGTCATCTCTGCTTCATTGTAAACTACATCTCGACTAGTGATACACCTCCTGTGACCTGGCTCTAGGCACCATAACCTATAAGCTTTGACTCCTTCAGGGTATTCCATGAACATGCATTTCAGAGCTCTAGGTTCGACCTTATCTTGCCTAATGTGAGCATAGGCCACACAACTAAATACTTTCAGTTTGTCGAGACTAGGTGGATGTCCCGACCAAACTTCTTCAGGTGTCTTCATATCTAACGCAGTCGAAAGACATCTGTTTATCAGATATGTTGTTGTCAAAACAGCCTCAGTCTAAAACACCTTCTTTAATCCCACATTAGTCAACATGCATCTAACTCTTTCCAAAATAGTTTGATTAAACCTTTCTGCCAAACCATTTTGTTGTGGAGTCCCTGCAGTAATTTTGTGCCTTGCAATACTTGAGGCAACACAAAAACTATCGAACGCCTCATTGCAAAATTCAAGGTCATTGTCGGTTCTTAACCTCTTGACTTTTGTGTCAGTCTGATTTTCGACCAGAGTCTTCCAACCTTTGAAATTCTCAAAAGTTTCATCCTTAGTCTTCTGGATGAATATCCATAACTTTCTGGAATAATCATCAACTATTGATAGAAAATACCTTGCTCCTGAATGTGATGGACACCTTGCAGGCCCCCAAAGATCAGCATGGATGTAATCAAGGGATCCATGAGTTCTTTGTTTGCTTTTGTTGAACTTCACTCTGCAAGATTTTTCAAGTACACAGGGTTCACAAAATTTCAGCTTTTCGAATGTGTCTTCTCCAAACAAATTTTGTTTCCCTAATTCGACCAGACCCTTTAACTGACATTACCCAATCTCATGTGTCAAATTTTTATTTTCGACAATGGTTTCGTGGATGCAACATTTGTCGAATCACTTACAACTTCAGCCTCAAGGGTATACAAGCCTTGTTTTTTAATGCCTCTCACGACTTCCTTCGACTCCTTCATGACTCTTAGGATACTTTTCTCTCCTTGAAAAACATATCCCTTCCCGTCGAAGTCACCAAGAGAAATTAATTTTTTTTCCAAATCAGGTACATACCTGACTTCAGTCAATAACCTTGTTGACTCATCATGGAGCTTGAATCTCACAAATCTAATACCTGCAATTTTGCAAGATTTGTTGATTTCTAGCAGCATTGACTCACCATCTTGATCACATAGCTCTTCGAACAATTCTCTGTTTGGAGTCATGTGCCAAGTGCAACCTGAATTCATAATCCACTTCTTTCTTGAGTCGCCGCTTAAAACCACAACAAAATCAGATGATTCAAAGTCATCTTGAACAATGACTGCATTGCCATTATCTTTACCTCCATGATCTTTCAGACGTTCAGGGCACACTTTTCTTGTGTGAGTCTCCTTCTTACAGTGATAGCATCGAATACCAGATGCCTCGCCACTACAAGACTTCTGCTGACTTTTACCTTTCTTCTTGTCGAGTTTACCATCCTTTCGCAAGAATTTTCCCTTAACGGCCAAACCTTCGCCCACCGTCAAAGTTTTATGCTCCTTTCGTTCGTTCATGTCCTTGGAATACAATGCTGATTGAACTTCTTCAAAGCTCAGAGACTCCCTTCCATACAGGAGAGTTTCTTTGAAGTGAGCATGTGTTCGAGGCACAACACACAACAACAATGCTTGATCTTCATTATCGATCTTCACATCAATATTTTCAAGATCAAGGATCAGCTTGTTAAACATATCCAACTGCTCAGCTAACACTTTGTCTTCACTCATCTTGAATGAATAGAAAGTTTGCTTCAGGTAGAGTCGATTCACCAGAGATTTGGTCATGTATAAGCTTTCAAGCTTCAATCATAACCCTAATGTCGTCGTCTTTTTTGATACCTGTCGGAGAACCTTATCACCAAGGCTCAACAACATTGCGCTGTGGGCTTTCTCTATCATGACCGTCTTTTCTTTTTTCGTTAATGCAACGCCCATGGTTGCCTCTCCCTTCAACGCTTCCAAACAACCCCGCTGAATCAGTGGGGCTTTCATCTTCAAGCGCCACAGACCGAAGTCGTTTACTCCAGTGAACTTTTCAATCTCATACTTTATTGAAGGCATCTTCTCCACGCTCACTGCACCAATTTGTTGTGAATTAGGATGCCTTAAAACAAAATATACTCGGTTTTTTTATGATCAAGAAACACACAAGAGTTAGGGTTATGGAAAAACAAAGAGAACAACAAGGATTGATTATAATTGTTATTCTTTACTTTCTCTATAAAACAGATTACAAGTACTCAAGAATAACAAATAACCCTCTCACCCTAATTAGGTTTTGTTACACCACACATAAGATGAGAGACTAGTATGCTATTTATAATAAAACTTAACATATTAAACTAATGAGTTTCTTAACAATTAACCATTACAAGTTAACTTAAGGTACAAACTAACTTAAACAATTGGATCCTTAACACAAAGCTCAATTCGACAACTACATACTAGAATACAATTCGACTATAGCATGTAGGTCTTCGACAACAGCATGTGAGCGAACTTCGACGACATGTTAACTAGAGTTCGATCCAATATCTCACAATATATATTAAAATTTTTTAAAAAATCATTTGAGTTGAATTTGATTATTTTGACAAAACAAATAAAAGAATTTGATAATCGATATATTAATATGTATACTTAAAAAACAAAACAAGTTTCCATTAAAAAAATTGATTGATTTTGGCAATAACCTAAATAAATCCATCAAACAATAATATGAATTATCCATTAAAAAATTGTAAATTTTATTTTTTTCTAATAAAAAGTAAAAGATAAATAAACAAATGAAAAGTGAATAAATTGGGAGTGTTGAAGTATAATTCAAATCTAAAAGGTGTTAGTTAAGTTATTTATTATACATGTAACTACTATCTAAGCTAGTTAGCTTGATGTGTGTTTGTTAGTGTTTGTAAGTTTGTCTAGTGCTGTATCATTGAATCATTAATGAATGTTAACAACAACACAATAATTAATATGAATATGAAGTGCAATACATTTAATTATATATGTTTTTCTCTGTGTATAGTTATAACAAGTGGCATCTAGAACATGAAGCTTTTGGATTCCTAAATGTTCAAGATTTAATGTTCATTATACTCATTCATTAAATGAACAATAAAAAGTTTTTTGAAAATTGTCGAAACAATTTTATTGAGAAATTCTATATTCTTAATTGCAATAGTTGAGATAGATGGAGCAAGAAAATGAAAGTGATCTTTGGATTCTAAGATATGATGAATATCATATAAAAATATTTTCAAGATCTTTCCAGCTATACATTAGATATTCAAATTGCTTCTTATAAAGAATCGAAGAAGAAGAATTTCAAGGCAATGTTTTTCATCCATCAATGTGTTTATACTTTCCATTTACAGAAGATTGAAAATGCAACTTCATCGAAAAAGGTAGGATACATTCTTGAAAAAGGTCATGTTGGTGATGACAAATTCAAGAAAGTTGGATTTCAAACATTGAAAAAACAATTTGAATTGTTATAGATGATGGACAATGACAAGGTTTTTGAGAATTTAAATTGGATTACACATGTTACTAATCAAATGAAGAGTTATGGTGAAGTTGCTTCTGGTCAAACCATTGTGAACAAAGTAATGAACACTCTTTCCTTTAGATTTAATTACATTATGGTGGAAATTGAGAAATCAAAAGATTTATCTAACATGAAGGTTAATGAATTATAGTGTTTCCGGGAAGCACATGAAAAGAGAGTACTTGAAAGAACCAAAGAACAAATGGTTGAGCAAGCTCTATAGTCTCAATCATCCAAGAATCGTGGTGGTTCAATATGGAAGGGAAATAGTAAATTCAAGAAATCAGAATCAATCGGAATCTTCTTCAATAAGCAATAATGCTCATAAAATCGCAAGGAAAAGGAAACAATGAAGAAGAAGGTTGTTCCTTTTCATAGTTGCCAACGATTTAGACACACCGTTGATGAGTGTAAGTGAAAACATGTTCTCCGAGGTAGAGACAATGTAGATTATGAGGTACACACGACTCATGAGGAGAATGGGTATAACATCATCACTTAATCAGAAGGAGTTGGTGATGTTTTGATCAAAATCATGAAAGGAAATTAAGCACTCATCACAGACATGTTGTATGTTTCAAACATGACAAGTAACTTGTTAAGCATGCATTAACTTCTTCAAAAGAGGTTTGCCATGCACCTTGTCAACAATTAGATGGAGGTCTTTTATGCACAGAGAACAAATATTATGAGAGATCCCCTATGTTATAATATATCCTTTCAAATCCAAATATAAATTAAAATGATTCTCACTTTCTTGCTACATAAATGCTTAGAGATTATTGGTGGCTCTGGTACTTCATGTATGGTCCTCTTCACATTAAAAGTATGTCAAGGTAAATGGTATATGGTTTTCTTATGATTTGATTGAATTTATATGTGTGCAAGAATTGCTTGATAGGAAAGTAACCAAGGAAATATTATGTGTCTCAGATTCCTTTGAGATATCAAGGTAAGTTTGATGTGGTACACACTGATGTTTGTGGTTCCTTTGACGCATCGTCGTTGGGTGGAAATACATACTTTATTTCCTTTATGGATGAATTAAGTAGAATGATGTGAGTTTATCTTATAAAGACCGAAAGCGAGGTGTTCCTAATTTTCAAGAAGTTTAAAGTGATGATAGAAAAACAACTCAAGTTTCTTAAAAGTGAAGGTGTTTGAAATCTTTTGTGAGAGAATTAGAATTGGGTATGAGTTCATAACTTCATACATCTTTTAACATAATGGTCTTGCTGAAAGGAGGAACATGACTATCATGAACATGATTAGATGCATGCTGAAAGAAAAGAAATTTCCTTGTGCTTTTTAGGGATAAAGGTGTCACAACTTCTTATAACGTGCTCAATGGGATTCCAACTAAGAAATTGAACATGGTTCTGAAGGTTCTATGGCAAAGTCACATTCCATATGTAAAACACTTGAGAATTTTGTGTCTTTTATGTTTCAAACACATTCTAGACCAACGAAAGAATATGCTTGAAGATAAGATTGAAGCGATAACTCTTGAAGCTTAAAATCTTGAAGTTTATGTAGAACATTCTCAGAGATTCATTATGAAAGTTGAAGAAGATAAAATCTTGAAGCTTTATAAGTCTCTTTGTGGCCGGAAACAAGCTCCAAGAGCCCTAGACAAGAGGGTTGACGAATTCCTAAAGTAGATTAGCTATTCCAAATGTACACTTGAATATGAAATATACGTCAAATGCGTGAATATGAAAAATCTCAGCATAATGTGTTATATATGGATGATCTACTCATTATAGGAAGCAATCACAATGTTTGAGAATCTCAAATTCAGTATGGGCATTGAATTTGATATAACTGACTTTGGAGGCTTAAATTACTCTCATGACCTTGAATTTATTCCAATAATAAAAGGCTTTCATCAAAGGAAGTACATCAACGACGTTTTGAAGAGATTTAATATGATGAACCGCAAATCCACTAGTACTCTCATGGATTTTGCAAAGATGAAGAACACAAGGTTGTTGATAGCACTCTATACAAGAAAACGGTAGGATGCTTGATGTATGCTTTCAACTCCAAGCTCGATATATGTCACAATATACTTGTGGTGAATAGAATTATACAGAAACTTAAATTGTCACATATACAAAGAGTCAATGAAATATCTTAAAGACACAATAGACCATGATATCTCGTTTCCTAAACTTGATGGCGAGATGGAACATATATTGATGAAAGATTGGAACATGAATATTATTAGTTTTAGTTTGAGTCACTCTATCGATATTGGAACAGAGGTATAGATAAAATATTGTAACAGAAATATAATTAATAAAAATTATAAGTTCTATAAATAACTCATTAATTTAATTTTTAAGTAAATTTGATGATTTTAGTGTCTGTACTAGATTACAAAAATAACTCATGATTTTTTTGAAAGTTTTGTCAGAGGCTGTAATTAAATTCTTTAATTTTAAATAATTTCAGCAATGTGCCTTTGCTTAACAACATTATCACAAATGAGTTTGAGTGATTCTTCTAAATCATCACATAAGAGGTAAGGATTTGGAATGATAGTTGGATCAACTGCCAGAGAAATTGTCATCTGATTAGCATAACTTTGAAAATGAATGGTTAGTGCCTGCAAAATAAATAAACATATTAGATTAACTCTAAAAAAATTATTGGTTAAGTCACTTCCTATTTACACCCCCAAAATAATGATGATGCTTACATGTGGATGTCCATATACACTTGGAGCAATGTATGCAACAGGATGTCCATAGAAGCTAATTTCTTCCACTGGACCAGCCACATTAGAAAATGCTACAGTAGTGTGAAATAAAACCCTTCTTGCTATGGCACCAGCAACCTACAAACAAACCCTAAATGTTAAACTTTTTTCAACAAGAATGATAACATAACCCTAACGCCTAGCCTAGCAATATCAGCTTTCTACCAGTTGAGCTAAAATTTGCAGACAGAGATTGTTAAGAACCACACATCGGACAATTTATGATTTAAACTAGAGGTGGTAATTAAATCCATTAAGGCAAAATCCATCCAATCCATCCATCAAAAAATCCATCCAATCCATCCACCACACAAAAAATAAGTTAATGGATTGGATTAAATCCATCCATTTATATGCATGGATGGATTTAATCCATCCATTTATATGCATGGATTGATTCAATCCATCCCACATATTTTAAGGATCCAATGAATTATTTTTATTTTCGTTAGATTTATTTTTTTAAAATTAGATTTTTTTTAAAATTAATTAAAAAACTATATTTTTTTTCTGAAAAAAAAAATTAATTTTTTTTCAGAACAAAAAACTGATTTGTTTTTCGAAAAAAAAACCGACTTTTTTTTTTGGAAAAAATCAGTTTTTTTTTTAGAATAAAAAACTGATTTGTTTTTCGAAAAAAAAATAAATTTTTTTCTCGAAAAAAAACCGACTTTTTTTTTTGGAAAAAAAATCAAATTTTTTTTTTCTGAAAAAAATCGGTTTTTTTTTTCAGAATAAAAAACTGATTTGTTTTTCGAAAAAAAAACCGACTTTTTTTTTTGGAAAAAAAATCAATTTTTTTTCTGAAAAATCGGGTTTTTTTTCAGAATAAAAAACTGATTTGTTTTTCGAAAAAAAATAAAATTTTTTCTCGAAAAAAAGAACCGACTTTTTTTTTGGAAAAAAATATCGGTTTTTTTTTTCAGAATAAAAAACTGATTTGTTTTTGAAAAAAAATATTTATTTTTACGAAATTAAAAAAAAATTTGGATGGATGGATATCCATCCATTAAAAATATGTTAATGGATGGATTGGATGGATTTTATTCTTAATGGATGGATCGGATTGGATAATTTTAATCCATCCATTAGCAATCCAATCCATATCTATCCAATCCATCCATTTTGCCACCCCTAATTTAAACATATGCTTATAAATATGGACATCGGTTTTGTAGGATTCAGATAAACTCAACGAAAGACAAAAAGTTGTTATTGTGAAAGTATACCTTAGCTCCAAATAAATTGAGAACCAATTTTGCAAAAGCATAAGAGCAAATAGCTTCCAAAGAGTGTTTTTTTCTGTCAATTGTGGCCTTAGCTTGACGAACATATTCCAATGGATCTTCTTGTAAGACAATATTAAAAGGGCAGGTTACATATCCCATTTTGTTACCCCATTTGGCTTTTCCTTTCTCAGCCATCATATCTGCTAAATCCTAATTATCATAATGTATGAGTTAATTAAACACAAACAATGGTTCATTAGTTCTAACTATTTTAGAAACCAAATTTACCTGAATTCCAGGAGAAGGTCTAATGTTAATAAGAATCGAAGCCCTGAGGCGAATATTGTTAGGGATATTACTTTTTCTCAGCGTTGCGGTACCATCATTTTTATCTTCCACGCCTACTTAGAGGATACATAAATAAGTACTACTCTGGTTAATATTGTATGCAAATATTCTTTTTTTCAGATTCATTGAATAACTGATGTATTTATCTTACCATATTCTCGATTCAAGTAGCGAGTGATACCAGCTTGTGCTAACCCCAACAAAACATCATTGACGGTCTAGTTAAACAACATTTAACATGATTAAGTAGAGACATAAATTAATCAAAACACGAATGAGAAAGATGACGATATTACCGTTTTCATTTCGGTCTTGACGAGTTTAATGTCATCCATACTAACGGTACGATAGACAAATTTCTTGGTATTGAGCTCAACCCCATGTGAGCCTTTTAAAGGAGTATGAGTGTCCTTAAAGAACAAAATGGTTAAAACAAGAAACAAAACATCTACAATAGTGTTCCAAATCAGACTAAACCCCGACAAAACACTCATCCAAAACGAGACAAGAGTTGAACATCTGCGCGCATTTGAGACCGAGACATTTTTCTTATTTGTTGTAGGGACAGTTGGTAATGCGTTAGGGTCAGAGGTTTTGCGAGTACCTGCGATGAGAAGTGATATAAGAGAGGTACCGTCACCAAGTGAATGGTGGATTCTGAATATTCCAACAGATTCTGCAGTTGAGGTTTTGATGTTCAGGAGATGAAGTTCCCATAGTGGTCTAGATATGTCTAGGGGTGTTTTCGTAAAATTTGAAATGTAGTCCTCAACAAACCTATCTGGGTAATCTGGTTTGGAATCTATTTGTGGAACTATGATATGGTTGTCTAAGTCAACTGTTGTTTGTGTCCATCTTGTTTTTCTCCCTTTCTTGACCTGAAATTCAAACAGAAAAGCTAAAAGACATGGCCTTGTGAGAAACATAAATCAAAGACAAATATTTTTCATTGCAATGTGTTAATCTAAAATATTTGATATGTATAGATTAAGGTATGTGATCAATTTTCAGAATCACAAGAGAAGGAGACGTAACATCCCCGCTAGAAAGTGCGTCTTATGCAATATTAAAAGGGTTGAATGGTGAGTGGCTTACAAGTTTGCTGGTGAACCTAGGATGCTTAAGAAGAGTATGACATAAACCTTCTTTAATAACTTGAACATTGATGTTTGTCTTGCAACCAAGTATCGCAATCACGTAACAGTTAAAGGATGGTGAATGAAACAACCTTGCAGCTGGACTAATCTCTTCACCATCTCTTGAAAATGCCATTGCCATGTGAGTATTTTCTTACACAACCCTCAAGATAACCAACATATATATACTGTTCAATATGCAACAAAACACACAGTTAGTTATTTGTTTCTAATTAGATAATGTCATTTAAAATGTCGGTGGTGGTTGGAGAAATAAGCAGATACAATGTGAGAAACTATAAATGCATCAATCTATATTCTTCTTTTGGTAAAGAAATCATCATTCTATTTGTATAAATGACCATGTCACACACAAAATAAATATTTTTAACTCTTGTGGTCACTGCTTCTGTCTTACTTGAGTAAGCTTTGGCGGAGATATTGAGAAGAATAAAAAGTAGAATTTGCAATAATAATATGTTTAACAAAAAGTAGAATTTGCAAAGGGAAAGAGATGAAGGAAGGGACCTGAAAAAGTTGATCTGTGCAAAGAACAAGAAGATGAGAGAAACTATGTCCATGAAACTTGATTGAAATCTCTCTTTCTATCTCTCTGTGTTGTGTTGTATCTCTGACCCTTCCCTAGATCATTGGAGAGTTTCTTCTTTCTGATGGTCAACATCTTTGGCAATATGACTTATTAATAAAAAGAAGCAGGTTTGATATTTGACAACGATGTTGCTTTAATGAGCTAGCAGGACACAAAGGTTAGAATATGTGCCATATTTTAATAAATAAATGAAGAATATGGGCCACTTCTAACTGGATTTCTCTATCCTGTTCTTTTTTAAATATTACTGGTCTTCACAACTATGTCACTGCAAGATTATTTATTTTTTCAGGTTAGAACCTTTATTGAATTGATTGTTTGTACTTAAGTATGGTTGATATTTATGTTATGCATTATGAATTTAAATAAATTTTGTGGATGTTGTCTCAAAAATGTGCATTATGAATTTAAATAAATTTTGTGGATGTTGTCTCAAAAATGTCAAGTGGTTTAATAGTTTTTCATCATGGTTAGGTGTTTAATGTGTTTGTGTTAACCAATCGGATTTTTTGGATTTCGAGTTTTTATAAATGTCGGTGAAGTTCTTACTAGTGAATGAATAAAAAACTATGGTGTATAAGACTCAGTTTGAGACGAGTGTTTCTACAAGTGAGACCAAATATAAGGAAGAATTTGAGGTTCCTACTTCTAATATTAAAGAAGGGGACCTAAGAGTGGATACTAATTATCAGTCGGCTTGCCAAAGAATTAAGAGGGAGATTGTATGACCTTAGAGATATGATTATGTTGGCATTGTTTGTTATGATTTGATTGTAGCTGAAGGGTTAGGGTTCAAATTCAGATTCCTTCAAGGATGTATTCAAAATCAAAGATAGTCAAAAGTGATTGAAGACAATAATAAAATGTATTCATTAAAGAAGAACCATGCACGGGAGCTTCTTAGACTACTTAAGAAACAAAGAGATGTTTGATGCAAATAGATCTTCAAGAATAAGGAAAATATTGGAAGGATCAAGAACCAAGGTTTAAAACAAGACTCGTAAAAAATAGGTTTACTTAGGTGGTGAGGGTTGAATATAATGAAATAATTTTACATGTGATAAAATATTGTTTTATAAAAGTACTTATGAAAACTGTGACTTAATATGATCTTAAGTTGAAATAGATAGATGCCAAAATAACTTTTTTTTTACATGAAGACCTTAAAGAGACATTCTATATTGAGCAACTTGGAGATTGTATAGAGGAAAAATCTAAGGTATGTTTGCTGAAGAAATTTTTGTATGGATTGAAATAAAACTCAAGACAATACTACTATCATTTGATGAATTTCTTCTTAAACATGGTTTTGTTGGAAGTAGTAATGACTATTATGTATGCACATTAAAGAGGAATGAGATAATCATTCTCTATCTTCTTTTTTTTGTATGTTGATGATATTTTGATGGTAAACTCTAGCAAGGTAGAGACCAGTAACATAAAGGAAACTTTGATTGGTGAATTTGAGAAGAAAAAAATTGGTGAAGTTAGAGATGGATATCACAGAGAAACTGCAAGAAGAATTAATTATTCTTATCACAAAATTGTTGATTAAAGAAAGTGTTGGGTAATAATACGAGAATGCAACGATAGAGAGGGGTGAATAAACCTCATTTAAAAAAGATCAATTTGAAAAATTCGTTTATTTCAAAAGTTATCAGAGTTTAAAAGCGGTTTGGCAAGCGAAAAACACAATGCATATAAAATTGACTATGCTTATCGAATGATATATACTCAACACTTAAATCGATACAAAAAGAGGAAAATGGATCAAAACACATAACCAAGCAAATCAATATGTATATTAAATTAAGATCGTCTTACACCAGAAGTGTAAAAGTTATAATGTTCCTTGCTAAGCCTACTTCACTCTCCAATGATTTTCCATTGAAAATTTTCGTCTTCCACTATGATTTTTGACAAAAATTACAAGATGTTAAGTACAATCACAATCCATATAATTCTGAAAATATAAAATCTTTGATGTTGATACTCGTTGACTTATATACAATATCTAAAACTGAATCCTCACGAAATATTTACTCGAAATCGTCTTTAATCTTCTAGCACCAAGAATGCTGCTCTAAAGTCCTCGTTCTGCAGCATTCTTTAATCTTCTAACCCCAAGAATGTTGCTCCAAAGTCCCCGTTTCGCACAACATCACCAAAGTAATTACGAAGAGAAAAACATCATTCTTTTTCAATGGACTTGTTAAAACTAACCACAACCCCGCACATTGTAACAACCATATATAATATATATCTAGAATAATATCATAATGAAAGTTTGTTGGTACTGAAACATACACAAGTGCCTAAACGACAACACTAGTCATGTCCCAACATACATAATAATATAAAAGATTGTACATGAGCTACATAAATGCTCCTAAAATAAACTAAGAGCATCACGGAAGACACAAAAGAAACACTATCTGCATCAAATCCTTTAAGTTACTTTATCTTTTCCTTTGTCTTTTCCCGAGCTTCTTGAAAAATTAAATTAAAACATATGGTGATATACTAATCTCAATGGATTCCCCTATCTTATGCATCCACTCGACTCTACAAGATTTTTAATTCTTTTGGAGTCTTACCAACGATGCTCAATCGTAGTTTTATTCGAAACCAGAGGTGGTAGCACATTGGCTTCATACATAAGTAGGATTCGACTTACTACTTAGCCTTTCTAGGTAAACTAAGGAGCTATGGATCTTAGTCGGGTTGAATAAAAAATACAATCAACCCATCCGCCTCCCGAGGATGGTGTCTCACTTTTGGGACCAATTGCTCTCAGAGAAGAAATATCAAAAGGACAATTCCCATAGCTATCACTTTTGGGTCCTACTGCCCTCAGGAGTTAACTATGTCACTTCCACTTTTGGGTCTTGATATCCTCAAGAATTGACAAGATCACTTCCACTTTTGTGTTTCACTTCCCTTAGAAATTGACTATATCACTTCTGCTTTTGGGTCTCACTACCCTCAGGAATTGATTAGATCAATTCTGCTTTTGGGTCTTACGAACCTCAAGAATTGACGGGGACTATCAAGTGGCATCTCGCTTTTGGGATTAAACCCTCAGAGAATTAACTTAGGTAACAAGTGGTGTCTCGCTTTTAGGATTCATGCCCTCTGAGAATAACTTATGGTTTTCTCCATCCTACCTCAGGACTTACTCTCGAGAGACACGAGTCTATCATGAACAAAGTATACTACTTCAGTTCGACCTCACCCTAACTTTACTTTTACCTTATGTTTACTTACTCACCAAGCATGTTTTAGATCACATACACATAGTGTTCACATATTAACTTTAAGGTATTCACGTTGCTTAAACCATCACATTAGTAACCTAAATACTACGGTTTACCTCTCGGGCACGCATACATTCTCTTATCTTTGAGAACTTCGTATCTCATATCCCGTTACCAGTGAGTATCCAAGTGTCTTGTAAAACTCTCATGACGACACATGCACATTGTCTAAAGTTAATGCAATTTATGCTAGCATCCATGAGGTTCTGAAACTATACAAAAATGGGAAATTAGGGATACAACATGGCCTACTCGTGTTAGGTGACACGACCTGTGTTGTTCCTAGGTCATTTCAGACCCCTGACACTGGTTTCCCATGTCACACGACACGATCCATGTGAGCTTCAGGACCCTTCCTTATAGTAAAACCAGAGGGCGATACGGTCAGCCCGTGTCACATGACACAATCTGTTTTAAGCTTAGATTTTTGGGGTTTCTCACTTGTGAGAATTTTCACACTAAAGTGATCTAACAACCAGCAAACAACAAGGTTTCTCAATTGATAAATGATTGGGGCATGTTAGAAACAATTCTTCATACAAACATGTTTTAAGACATAACTCACTAGCCTTAGCATGTTCATCATTCTTCAACATAATGCATCAAGTGGCTCAAAGAACATACAACACATATGCATTGGTTCACATATGAAATCATAATATGTCAACCAACCAATTCTAACTATAAAATCATTGGTAAGCATGCAAACATGGAAAAATCAACAATCAGGCCATTAGTTCCCTCCCACGCATGATTTCTAACATCATTCTATCCCACCCCAAGGTTTCTAACTAAGAACCCACCTTAGAAACAATTTTTAATTTGGAAAGTAGAACTTGATACGGGTGATGACGATGTTCCACAAACTCTCTTTCTACAATAACCTTCTAATAATTTGCACTTGCAAGGGGGTATGAAGCTTGAACCAAGATTTTCTTCCTTCATCTCTCAAACTCGTGCCCTTTCTTTCCTCTTCCACTCCCTTACTTCAATTTTGATTTGGAAAGAGAAATGGGATTGAGAAATGAGGATAAACACTTGAAATTGATTTTAAGTAATGGTTTGGGGAATTGGATTTTCTAGTACATAACTAAAAACAATCGTGGTTATAATTTGTAAAAGATACCAAAAACAATACTATTTATGTTTTTAATTATAAATTATTTTGACAATTTCACATAAATAAATGTTGTTAATTTAATATAATAAAAAATT